TCATTTTGTTTGAATGTTAAATGTTGGTGGGGAAGAAACTCTCTAACTATTGTGCTCCAACTACATGTGTTGGTCTTAGTAGTTTAAGTGGGTATGTAAATGAATTGAGTTGGTCAAAATGGGTCTCGGCTCGGTAGAAATATATTCGATCGAGATCGTCTGTTAAGCTCAAAGAGCCGATCTTGAGCTTGAATATGTTAGAGAAAAAAAGCTCGAAAACATTTTTGTTGACGTGCTTGGAAGATCAACAGCTCGAGCTTCAATCATCTTGAAACATGCAAACTTGAAATTGATTTAATTCGTTAGTAGGTGTTCTTGAACCTAAGCTCTAGTTCGTGTCATTTCCCAGAGCTTAATTCGTTATATATTGGAATGTTAAACTTAAAATAGTTAAAACAACACTTTCCAATCATCATATCATAGAAAATGCCAATATCATTTAGATAATGAACTAAGTCAGTAATTTACTCCCCATAGTTAAACAAAGTTCTACCCACATTTTCAATATACTAAAAAACCGACGAGTTATAATACGAAACGAGAACCGGACTCCTAACACGATGCATGCCGTCATCCCACACGAGCGAACCCGACAAGTAGGTCACTTTTGGCGGCAACTTCCCTTTCAAAGTCACGGCAAACGAAGCCTTCTGATAAGCCCGGTCGAAATTCAGCACGTTGGGGTTGACTTCGATCGAGAGCCCCTCGGGTGAGTTGACTTCTGCCTTGTACGTTGACTTTCCGAATCCAACATTAGTCACCTCTCGATAGTACACTTCCGAAAATCCAGATTCTGGATCATCTACTTGATAATATATCGAGGGATAATTCAACCCGTCCGCGCCTTTCGCTTGTGGGATTTTCGAGCAATTGTAGCTTTTGCTGCCCGTCAAAAGAATAATATCGTCGCTCGTGTAGCCCTGCTTGCAAAGCAAGCTTACGTAGTAGATTATGTCCATGTCGTATACAAGGCCCGGGTGAAGGGCTTGTGTGGGGTTGAGTTGGCCCGCGCCAGTGGCTAACTCGGCCTCGACCGGTTTCACCTTGAACAATGTTGCTGCACGTAAAAAAAAAGCCCAACTAGCAAAAATTAGCTTTTGAACCTTTTTGTGCTCGGGCCCAATCTGGCCAAATGAAAGAATAAGAAGGTTGCTTACATGTGGTCATTAGAGCCGATTTAATGGCGGCCGGAGACCAACTCGGATGGTAGGTTTTGACATAGGCAGCCGCACCGGAGACATGTGGCGTAGCCATCGAAGTTCCGGAAAATACCGTGTAGTTCACGAACCGATGATCACTTGGTGATTCCAATAGGGAGGTGAATTTCGTGTAGCCGGCAAGTATGTCGACGCCAGGGGCCGAAATATCGGGCTGTTTTTTGTTTTTACATTATTATCAATAAGCACAAAAAAAAAAAAACGAAAAACAGGTCACTCGTGTGAACGATATAAAAAAGTACCTTGAGTAGGTTCGAACTCAAGTCTTGAGGGCCACGAGACGAAAAGTGAGCCACGTAGAAATCAGTCACGTTCACGCTCTTCGTTTTGAATATAACAGCTTGCGGCGATCTACATACCAATTTGCATATTAGATAAATCGAGCCTTAAAATAGCAAGTCGAACGAAATCCACCGAATACGAAACATATATACAAACGATTTAATTACCTTGTGGAATTTATGTAGCTGTCGATATATAATCCACTGTCATAGCTAATGTAAGTTGCTGGGCCGAATGTGGGACGAGACACATCCAAGTAAAAGTAATAGTTATCGGACATTATAGTGCCGGCCCCACCAGAAAATGGGACGGTGTTATCACCGCCGGCCCCTTGGCAGTACACGATTTTCCCTCTTATTAAGGTTTCGTTCAATGACCCAAAGTCGCATGCACTGTCGAAAATAGCAAATAATGGTTTAAAGTCCATTTTAATTGTATATGAGACTGTTTTGAAGAAAAAATAAATTTAAGGTAGAACTGGAATTATCTGATGACGAAGAATGCGAACAGCTCATGACAGTCACCTGACATTTGCATAGGGAATAATAGTAGAGTTTCGTGCAAGAGCTCCGTTTGTCAATGGGTATAATCGTCTCTTTGGTGAATATGTATTAAGCGCAACTCCCTGCAATACACACATACACAAAAGAAGATTACACAAACAGAGTAGAGTTGCTAATAGTAACGAGAAGCTCATGAGTTCGACTCGGCTTAACTCATTAATCCTACATAGTTTGACTCGTATTTTAAATAATTTTCTATAACTAGGCTCGATAAGGATTGAACTCAGCTCATTAATATTAATGTTGATAAATGAAATATGGTCAGCGCACACATTTAAATGAACCGAGCTCCGAGCTCGAATCATTAACGTTCAGGCTTTAACTCGATTAACGATGCGTTTTAATTATGAGCTCGACTCGATAATAGGTACAGCTAACAGAAATATTAAGAGCTCGACTCGACTCAGTTTGTGCCTCTTTAATATTTACACTAAATCATGCAACTAGTGCAAAACCACAAAATTAAAACACACACACACAAAGAAGGGGGAAATTACCGGAATTTTCTTCCCGTTGCCCAAAGCCACATCTGTCACGAGCTTCCGGTCGGTGGTGCTGGCCGCCACCGTGAGCACCCACGGCGCAACATTCTCGACCAGGCCCAACGTGGGCCCGTCGTTCCCCGCCGCGCACACCGTGAGGATCCCCCGCCGGGCCGCGTGGAACGACCCAATCGCGATCGAGTCCTCCGTGAACTTGCGCGTGCGGCCTCCGATCGACACCGAGATCACGTCCGCCCCGTCGGCGATGGCCGCGTCGAAACCGGCCAGAAGGTCGGCGTCCTGGCATCCCGGGCCCCAGCACACCTTGTAGCTCGCGATCCGGGCCCGCGGGGCGCCGCCGCGGGCGGTCCCCTCCGCGATGCCGTACAGGGAGGCGCCGGCGACGGGTATTCCGGCCGCCGTGGAGGCGGTGTGGGTGCCGTGGCCTTCGAGGTCGACGGGGGAGGGCGGCTCGTCGTACGGACCCTCCTGGCCCACTTGGAAAAAACGGGCCCCGATTACCTTGCTGCAGATTGATAAAGACAAAGGGGCGAGCACGTCATGATGACGTCAGGTCAGGATGGCATTTATTCTAATTAATTAATTTGAAACTTACTGTGCTTGTGTATATATATTTTCCTCATTTATATTATCAAAATTACAAAATACACATACTAATTAATTAAAATAAATTGAAAACCTTCTGATTCATTATTGACAAGTTATGCAATTTTTCACAAAATATATTATCAAAATTACAAAATACATATACTAATTAATTAAAATAAATTGAAAACCTTTTGATTTCATTATTTGACATGTTATGCAATTTTTCCCAAAATGTAAATCAAAATTACAAAATACATATACTAATTAATTAAAATAAATTTACAACTTTTGATTCATTATTTGAATACATGTCATGCAATTTTGCCCAAAATATGCATAAAATAATTACATTGCGTATATCTTTGTAATTCCTCACTTTGATTCATTATGTGACATGTTATGCAATTTTGCCAATGATTTGAGTTAGTTAGTAATCATTTTCAAGTGCTATAAATAGATAATAATTTGTATAAATTAAATTATCTCACACTCTACAAGTTGTATATAATTTTTAATTTTCAGAAATATATCTAAAAGTTACTATCATTTTGAATTACATTTTTAATTTTTAGAAATATTACTCTTCTTAATTGTTTCTTAATAACTTATATTTATATATAATTCATTAAATCTATCAAGAAAATTAATAAAAATAAAAAAATAAATAAATAATGGTTATAGAGACTTGCTTGTTGCAGCGAGTGAAGTTTTGGCCACTGTCACATTTGCCCTTCCATTTCTTAGGTGGAGGACCAAATCCCTCGTCATTGAAGCTTGGGTTATCTGTCCATATTCCTGCATAATTAAAATTAAATAAATTTATATGTCAACATACATTAAAAAAAAAAAATTAAGATAGTTATTTTGGTGATTTAAATTTTATTTAAAATTTAATATTAATGTTACCTGTATCTAACATGGCAATTATAGTATCACTCTCAACTTGTTCATTTCTCTTCACATTCAGAGGCATTCCCAGAAAATCCCATGACCTTGTTGTCTGAAGCTTTAGCATCTCGTTTCGAAAGACCGATATAACTCCTTCGTTTTCTATAATTCCAAAAATAATAATAAAAATTAAAAAAAAAATAAAAAAATTAGTACATGTATAAGACCTTCTTTTTCAACATACAGGCATATTGTCGTAAAATTGTGACATTTTATAAAATAAGTATGCATTTTTGTTACGGAAATAATAAAATTTTAATTTAATATTGACAATAAATAAATAAATAAATAACGATTACTCGATAATTCTTCTGCTTCATGAGGAAGTAATTTTGCCGCGAAGCCATTGAAGCTCTTGCCATAGCTATGTACCTTGGAGTTCCTAGCTATTGTTTCGCTGAAAAAATTTCAAACAATAAAGAGGTATGTATAAGTTAATAAAATCATATCAATTTTCAATTTTGCAATTTTATTACATTTATTTTATTCATGTAACACATTAATTAGTTATATGGCATATTATTTTGGGTAAAAAATAAAAATAAAAAATGTTCATTGCCCTAGTGATATAGGATATTATA